CACATCTGGTGGGGAGGATGGGTGGGGACGAGTGTGAATTGGCTAGAGGGGAGGCGGTGTGGGGGTGTGGGAGGACCCACGCTTATGGCCTCCTGTGAGCCCAGCTCCCAGCCAGCACGAGGGACAGGGACAGAGAACGGCCCTAAGGCTGGAGGGAGGGGGCCACCCTGGGTGTGGAGGAGGTCTGAGGCTTTTTAGAATCATGTTCAGACGGAACCCCACTGGAGGGCTGAGAGCTTGGTGGCAGTGGGGTCTGGGTGATCACCACCTAGCTGAGACCACCGCAGGACCTTCTGCCAAATGGGTGGTGGCATCTTTTCCAGGCACACTCATCCATGGACATGGCTGTAAGGGACAGCCCTGCCCTCCGTGTCTCCATCAACCAACAGCAAAGTTCAGCCTCCCGGCACCCAGCCCCAGGTGCGAGATCCGAGCGTTCTAGAACTCCGGGCACCGTCCTGTAGGTCAGGGGTCTTTCTTCACGTGCTCTGTAGCAAGTTCCGTACTGGATCCCGACGGGTCATCTCAGAGCCCAGGTCTGCTGACCTAGAGTCCCACTGGCTGTCACGGGAGCTCCACACGGCCAGCCACCAGGCCCTCTGAAGAGGTTCTCAGGTTGTGTCTGTAGGAAGCCTGAGGTCTTGCATGTGAAGGGGCCTGGCGGACTATGGCCCCAGCACCCTCCCTGCCGCTCTCCCTCCCACAGCCCCTCTCCCACAGCTCTCCCTCCCACAGCCCCTCTCCCACAGCTCTCCCTCCCACAGCCCCTCTCCCACAGCTCTCCCTTCCATAGCTCCCCTTCCTGCAGATCAACCATCCCATGCCCTGCCATCCTTGCAAACATCACACTTTTTTTTAGCTTCTAAATTCTAAGTGTGGTGGGGGTTGTTTTGTTTTTGGGGTTTTTTTTTAAGCTTCTAAATTGTAAGCGTGCGCGCACACACGTGTGTGTGTGTGTGTGTGTGTGTGTGTGTGTGTGTGTGTATTTAACTTCTAAATTCTAAGTGGCTTTCTATCCCACAGCACCAGCTCTCAATCTGTGTTTCCAGGCAAATATACTCATCTGAGTATTCACTGGGCATCAAATCTTGCCTGGCCGTGTGCTCCGTGTCAAGGAGAATGGCCAGGTACTTCCAGGGCAGGAGGGGAGGGATCTCTCTGAATGGGTACTCGAGCAGAGAATCGAGGGTGCAGGCCGAGGAGGTCTGGAGTGAACTTCCTGTTCTAGGATTGGGGACAGCTGTGCAAAGGGCCTGAGGCAGGAGCCTGTGACGGGGTGAGCTGAGCCTGTGGCTGGAGCCAATGCTTTGAAATCACAGTAGCACTTCGGGCCGTTCTCTGGGAGAAGCAGGGCCAGCCAGAGGGGAGCACACTAAAGCTCCACTCGGAGACGGGGAGCTGTGCCCAGAGAGGTAAGGCAGGCGTACCATGCCCCACAGTGTGGCCTCACCAGCAGCTCTCCTTGCACACTGAGCCCCACTGCCTGACGACACCTTGCCTCCCATCCGGCTAGAGCCCGAGCGAGAGTGGCTCGGGGCTTCCTGGCCTGGGAGAGTTAGAGCAGCAGGAGAGGAGGGCCGGGGGTCTGCACACTTCCCCACAGGACCCCTGAGCAGAGACCTGCGGTAGGGGTCTCAGAGGAGGTGGGCAGCTCCAGATGGGAGAGCTCGGCGGCCGGGCCCCAAAGAGGCCAAGCGCACCTGTCACAGCTCCAGCTCGTGAGCACGACCCACAGAAGCTGCAGGCGCTGAAGGTCCAGGACCAGGGCTGTGCCTCCCTCTTAGGGTGAGAATGCAGAATGCTGGCCAAGGGCCACTGCCTACCTGCGCCCCGTGGCCCCAGTCTCCGGTCTCCAGCCTCAGCACCCCGCGCCAGGCTCCTCTTATGGGCTCCTCAAGCCCCTGGATCCCCTTTCTGCAGACGGTGAGGGCAGCGGGCACCCGTCTCTCCCAGTTCCAGACAAGCCAGACCATGCACACCCCTGGGTCCAGACCCTGGACAGGACTAGGAGGCATCCAGCGGCAAATGTGTACCCCCAAACTCCAGCCACTTCTGCCCAGAGAAAGTTCCCCAGAGAGCATGAGCAGGGGGAGAGCTGCCGGGGGAAAGGCTGGCGAACACCACGGCACTGGAGTAGAGAAAGAAAGAACATTCTGGGCCCCCCCTGGGGGGGGGCAGTGGCTGGCCCAGGAAATCAGCAGGGGGTCTACAAAGCCCAAAGACTTCAGCAAGCCCAAGAAAGAGAAACAGAAGCAGCAGAAGCAGGGGTGTCCACAGACACAAGTCCACCAGATGGACACGTACCTGGCCATTCCAGGGGGTGTCCAGTGCACGCGAAGGAGGCTTCCAGAGTTCAGGGTTGAAGGAGGGAGCCTGAGTGGGTCCACCATGGTGGGCAGACCTTATAAAGGAGGCCCCCAGGTGTCACCGTGGTCCCAGGGAACACGTGTGACCGGTAACTCCTGGATATGCCAAGTCCCTGGATGTGGGGCCTCCTTCAGGAGGAATGGGTCCGAGGGCATGACCCTCTACCCTAGCCACAACACCCACCCTCTCCAACCCACCTGGCTGGACCTGCCTAGAATCCTTCCTGTATCACGAAACACCTCACAGAAACGAACTGGAGACAAAGTCATTCTACTTCCAGGAATCTGTTGAGGGGAAGGTTCTCAGAAGGACCCCACAGATTACATCATCAGGCACTGCCCAAGCTCCTGGCTTGGCCATATATGTTCAGACACATTTTCAAAGGACATCTGAGTCTCATTGTGACTTGGTTGTTCAAACTCGCAGAGCTCCCTGAATCACGGGGTCCTGTCTTGCATGGGGCAGAGCCCACATATGCTTTCGGCCACAAATACTTGCTGAGCCCCGAGCACGAGCCGGCAGTGGTCTGGGTGCTGGGCACTGCCCTCGAGGGCTGACCTGCTGGGAGGTTTCAACAAGCAAGGAGCCCGCACAGAAAGTGACGGGCCGCGCAAGGCAAAACACGAGCCTCTTATGGGGACCCAAATTCAGCTTACCTCCGGAGGGAAGATCCGGAGCGGGTGACCAAGGGCTGTGGCTTACTGCGTGTCCCTGGGGACAGCAGGGCCATCACCCTTAGACGTGTGGAACCCCAGAGACCACCGCTCTTCGCCTGGGGACCTCTTGGGACACGCGCAGACCCCCCAGGGAGAAAGCCCCTAAAGCCTTCCCAAGTTGAGCCATCCCACATCATCGGGACATTACACAGAACCATGCAACGTCTGACCTTGATCCTCAACTGAAGACACACACACACACACACACACACACACACACTCTTACATGCACACTCACACACACCGACCACACACTCACTCACTCCCCTGCACACTCACATGGCCCCTCACATACCCCTAGACCTTTCCCATGCAACCGGTGTGTTATGAGAGCCCCTCTCCCTTGCAGCTCCCCCGGCCACCCTGCCATTCTGCCTCAGCTCCCTCCACCTCACCTGTTCTCCCCAACAGGAGGAGGAAGAAGAGGTAGAGCTTCTAGGCCTGGCGCCTTTCACCACCCTCCCCGCAAGTGCCATCCAGAAAGGCAAAGAGAAAAGGTCAGGTGCCACAGCCCCTCCCAGGACCCGCGGAGTGAAGTGTACTTCCAAAACAAGCAGGTGACTGAGACTCAGCAAATGAGCTGCCGCCGCCACCAACATCCCTGCAGGAGGAGGGGAACACCCCCCCCCCCCCCGCAAAAGAAGGGCCCTGCAGCCCGGCCTGCCTGCCGCCGGCCCAGCATCCCCAGCTGCCCCGGCCGCAGGCAGCCTCCCAGCCTGGCCAATGAGAAGCAGGATGCAAGGGCGTGGAGTCCTGCCAGGCGGCGCTGCCCCGCCAGGGCACGGATGGTGCGGGTCCAGCCAGGGAACACCTACTGAGACAGCGCCCAAAGGCTGTGCTGACGGAAGAAGGGTGCTGCCTTTATCCCAGCGGGCCTCTCGGCTCTGCGCCGGGAGGGTCCCATCAGGCGGGCTTTGTGAGCCGATCCCCTGGCTGCACAGCGAGCTGGGGGCCCGGGAGCGTCCTGGCTGAGAGCCTTGGCCCAGGTCGGGCAGCCGCAGAAGAGGCAGCCCCTGCGCCCAGGGCAGAAAGGAATCCAGAAGCAGCAAAGAAGGATGTCCCGCCGGGGATTCCTACGGCCACAACCACCGCCCTCTGGGGCCTTCCTCCCCCACCCCCAGCCACGGGAGGGCTAAGGGCTCACTCCCGAGGCGGCGAGGCCGGGAGCCGAGGACCCAGGCGGCCCGGGGCGAGGGGGCGGCGTGCTAAAGGCAAGCTCCCCGCCTCCTCCCCGCCCGCAACCGGCCCGGCCCGCCCGGGAGTCTGAAACGCTCCCACCGGACTGGGAGGAAGGGACGCGAGCCCTCCGTGGGCGCGGCCGGCGAAGGTGGGCCCTGTCCCCGCCCCCCACACGCCCGCCACACGTAGCCCGGCTGCCGCGCGATGACGCGTGCCCAGCGTGGGGACGAGAAGGACCAGCCTGACGGGCCAGCGACACCTCCCTGGGGCTGGGCTACGGGCCCGTCGTGGGGGGTGCTGGCAGCCCCACCCGGGCCGGGGAAGTCCGACCCTGCCCGGGTCCCCACTCCCCGGAATGCCGGCCCCACGCCCGCCCGCGGGAGCCCCCACTCCGCCCCTGCTCCTGCTCCCCAGCGCGCGGCAGCGCCAGCCCTGCGCCGCCCGCCCCTGCGCCCCCAGCTTCCCTGCGCCCCTAGCCCGCCGGAACCCCGACTCCGCCCCTGCTCCCCCCGCCCGCCGGAGCCCCGACTCCGCCCCTGCCTCCCCCGCCCGCGCGAGCGCCGGCTCCGCCTGCTGTCCCCCGCCCGCCGCGGCTGACACGAGTCCGGGCTGTCGTGCGCTTGGGCGCCAGGCTTGGGGAGCTCGGCGAGGCCGTGGACCTGCGTCTGCCCCGCGTAAGTCGGCGGGGTCCGGACCGGGGAGGGGGAGCGGGGACGACCCCCTTGGCGCCGGGCAGGGCGGAGAGAAGCGGCGAGCGGGGTGCCGGGAGCGACGCGGGAGGGTCTGGAGGAGGCTGGGAGGCTGGGCTTACGGGTGGGCCCGGCGCACGGGGGCTGAGCCTCCACTCCCATCCCCCAGCCCTCCCAGCCCTTCCCAACCGTGCCCAAGATCGGGGCTGGAGCGGGCACGCACCAAAATCAGGCGCCCTCCCTGGCTGGGTGACCCAGAGCCGCGCAGGCAGGGGGGCCATCACCCGACTCTAGGTTCCCCTTCGCCTCTTCCGTGGGGACTGGCGAGGGGCAGCATTGCTGACTCGAGAAGGGGGCTGGGATCTTGGCGGTCCCGCAGGATGGGAAGAATTAAGGGCCCTTCCTGGCGGACCGACCACCCTGGGGACTGGAGCATACCCTGGCAAGGGGTGAAAGCTAGTTTGCCAAAGATTATGCAAGCGCATGAGGTGCCTAGGGACGTCGGCCCCCAGAGCCCCCGCTCCCCGCCCCGCTGAGCCACCTTCGATCTTCCAGGACAAGGACTAGCTCCTCTGTAGTGGCCCTGTCCCTGCATGCCTGGCTTTGTCAGAAATCAGCCTCGTGAGCCTGGGGGAGGAGTGGGCAGTCCGGATCCCAGATGGCACTGTCCCTGAGGCCCCCTGGTGCCCCAGGGCTCCCATTGCCTGACCCTGCTCATGTCCATCCACTCCAGCCAGTGCCTCGACTCAGCCCAGTGGGGCCTGTTTGGTTGGTTGCCAGGGACAGTGGGGACACCAGGTGTGACTGGTGGCTGTGCATTCCAGAGCTTCCTGGAGAACAGCTCAGAGCTTCTCCAGGCCCAAACCTCACATTATAGGAGAGGAAGCTGGGGCTCCTTTCTCCCGCGCTGCCCACATCTGGAGATGGGCTCAGCTCTGTTCTCGGGCATCCGAAGCTCCTGTCCTAGACCCCAAGATGTTAACCCCAGGCCCAGAACTGGACGGGGGAAGCCTGTTCTCTCCCCCGCATTCCTCTTCCCAGTGCCTGGGACCCAGCTCCCTGGGCCCAGAATGCCTTTCCGCCGCCCATGGCTGTTCCCCCAGGAAGGCACCAGACTGCGCCTCCCACACCTTGCCTCCTGCAGAACATGGAACCAGAGCCCCAGCTGCTCCCCCCTGGGGCTTCCTCCACCAACTGCCACTGGTCTCTGCCTGGGAGAGGGTCCCAATGGAGGGCACCAGGCAGCCTCCATAGACAGATCTCCCTGGCTGAACCTCGCCAAACCTATTTTTCAGGCAGGAAATGGGGAAATAGCAGATTTTGCAGGCTCGCTGTCATCAGCGCTGAATCATACAGAGCGGGAAGCGCCCCTTGCCTCCGCAACACCGAAGCTGCTGGAGGCTGCTGGAGGCGGGTGCCCAGCGCCCAGCCGGCCCCTGAGTCCTCACGGCAGGAACGGAAAGTTCTGGATGTGGGCTGGCTAATATTCCTGGTCACCATGCCCCCCACCCCCAGCATCACCACCAGCAAGGGCCAGTCTCTTGGCCTTCCTTTCTGTGTGGTCCTGAGATCTGTCTAGATTCCCCAGCCCGCCCAGCTGCAAGCCCCGCGGGCTGGGGGAGGGGTCTCAGCTCGGAGTGTGCACTGAGCGAGGTGGGCGGGAATGGAGCAGGAGGACCCTCCATGTGCTGGCTGTGTGGCTGCCGGAAGACAGCCCACCCCACCCCGCTGTCTATCAAATGGAGGGCAGCGTGGCTCCTACGGCCTGTGGCTCTGGTCCCTCCTTCCAAGGGGCAGCTGTGTCCCCCACCAAGCTGTTGTCTAAGCAGGACCCGTATCTTTGGCTTTGTGAGAGCCCAGACCGGACACCCATCTCCTCCGGAATGAAGGTCTTCCTACCCGTGCTACTGGCTGCCCTGCTGGGTGTGGAGCGAGGTGAGATGCCCCCCCGGGGCCCCGGGCCCTGCCTTTGGGTGAGCCCTGCTTTCCTCTCGGACTCTCCTTCTGCCTTCTCTCCCGAGCAGTGCCCAGCAGCGCCCAGGGGACCTTCAGTCCCGTTCCCATGTGACCTGTTCCAGACGGCCCCAGCAGAGCAGGTCACTCCTCCTCGCTGCTCCCCTGGAGGCCTCGGGTCTGCCCTGACACGCTCCCCGCGGTGCATTTGGTCCGGGGCCTGGGTCTGGAGTGTGATGATTGCTCGATTAACATCCACCAAGGATTGGGGGTTGTGGACTGGCAGGGGACATCGGGGGACGCCGCTGGAAGGCGCCCCAGGGCCCGAGACAGGTGTCACCTGTTGCGTCTCCCTTCCTCTGCAGCCTGCTCCCTGGTGTGCTTCTCGTGCACGAATCAGAACAGTAACTTCTACTGCCTGAAGCCGACCGTGTGCTCGGACTCGGACAACTACTGTGTCACGGTGTCCGCCTCTGCCGGCCTCGGTGAGCGCAGCCCGCCGCCTCTGCCCGTGGCCCAGGCCACCCCCTCCCCGGCCCCCGCGCCGGCCCTCACCGCCTTGTCTTCCTGCGCAGGGAAACTGGTGGACTTCGGCCATACCCTGAACAAGGGCTGCTCCCCGATCTGCCCCAGCCCCAGCGTCAACCTCGGCGTGGCGTCCATCGGCACCCACTGCTGCCAGAGCTTCCTGTGTAACATCAGCACGGCTGGCCGGGGGCTGCGCGCCAGCGCCGGGCTGCTGGGCCTCGGGCTCTTGCTCAGCCTGCTGTCCGCCCTGCAGCGGCTCGGGCCCTGACTCGTCCGCCCAGCAGCCGGCCCGGACTCCCCCAGCTCAGGAAGGAAGGCCAGGCCCCTCCCAGACCCTCCCAGACCATACGGAAGCCTCTTCCTCCTACCCCTCGCCCCGCTCGATCCCAGCCCCCGCTGCCCCGCTGCCCGTGGTGCTCAGGGTCTGGCCTGCCCCTGGCGCCTCCCCCTACCCGGAGAGGAGCCCGCAGCGCTCAACTCCCCAGGCGGCCAAGCGACCTTCCTCAGGGAACCTGGGAAGGGCTGAGGGCCGGAGGCCGAGGGTCCCGGAGTCAGGACTGAGACCTGGGGACACACTGGGAGGGGCACGTCTGTTCCCAGCTGGGTTGGGAGCTGTGCTTTGGCCGCTGCTTCCGAGAAGGCCTGTTGTCACCATCCGAGGACGTTGTTGTCGCAGGGGACGGCCTAGCTCAGCAGCACGGACGGGGCCTGGGTGCACCCTGGGCATGCGTGCGAGTGTGTGGGCGAGTCAGAGTTGGGGGGGGACGGGGTCAGGAGTCCAACGTAGGCCGCGGAGCACCCCGACCTCAACAACAAAGCTGCTTTTCTCTGGCCTTTCTGCAGCCCACATTCACTCACTTTAAGGCTGGCCTTTTGGAAGATGGGGTTTCAGTGCTTCAGGGTTTAGGCCACTGGACCCAGGAATCCCGCCCCCCCCACTGACCTCCAGCTGCGGCCCCACCCTCTCCCTCCACCCCCACATTGGATTCTGCCTGCTGCTTTGGTGCCTCAAATAAACACATGTTCTCCACCTTTTGCTCTGGCCGTGACTGCCTGTGGCCATGACTGCAATCTGGGGGACCCCCTCCCTGCAGGGGCCTCAGTGGGGGGGGACCCCCATGGCCCCACCCAGCGGCTCACATAGGGAGAGGCTCCCCTGAGTCCATAGTTCTCTGCCCTCCAGGCCTAGAAGAGAACCTCCACTCTTGGCCACGTGGGAAGTTCATCATCAGGTAGGGCAGGGCAGGAAGCAGGGAGGGAGGTCCGTCTGCTTCTGGGAGGAAGGCAGCCCCCTCCAGAGGCAGGAATGGGTTTGGAGTGGGGAGAAGGAGCCTACAGGAGCAGGCACTCGGTGGCACCGGCGTCTGGCTCTCCGGGACTCGGCGATGGGATGCCTGGCCCGTCGGGTCCAAGCTGGCACAGGCAAACCTGACTGGGCAGGCAGGGGCCAGGGAGCGGGTGAGCGGACACTGCCCTGTGCCCACTTCGTCTCTGCCAGCCACGTTGTTTCTGTGGCGGCCAGAGAAGCCGTCCCTGCTGGCAAGGCTCTGTGTTCCTAGCCCACGGCCCCTTTGACTGGGCTGGGGTGCGTCGTGGCACTCCTGGAAGGTGGGGAAGTCGGTCTCTACTTGATGCCAGCAGGCCAGGTCTGAGGACCCAGAGGGGGCCCCAAAAGACGAGCTGAGCGTGTCCGTGGCTTCTTGCAGGCTGGAAATCAGAAGGGAGCCAGGAGGAAGTGAGGGAAGGGCTTCCTGACCAGCATGAGGGATAGAGCAGAGCAGACAGTGCCTGGGGCACCCGCGCCCTTGGGGTGAGCTTCCTACTGGAAGGGGTCCGGGCTCCTGCTCCTTCAGGAATCCAGAGTAGAGTCCGTGGACAGCGAGGGTCACAATGGGATCCTGTTCTCTGAGGCCTTCCCAGGTGTTTGGGGCCCAGGAAGAACTCAGGATGATTAACCGCCTCCCCTTGGAGTGGAAAACAAGCTTCTCTGGGCCCATTCAGAGCAAGGAAACCGCAGAGCAGGAGTCGCTGTGACCCGCCCACCCGAGGAGGAGCGGGACGGAGACTCTGGGAAACGCGGTCCCTTGGGCTTCCCAGCCTCACACCCGCCTGCGCACTCAGGTTGACCCCGGGGGCCCCAAGTGGTGTGCCTGTGCCCAGTGGCCGCAGAATACTGTCCAGCAGGGCGGGACAGTGGTCAGTGTGGGGCTCAGGATTGTGGCCCATCTCTGGGGAATCTCTGAGCTCCAGGTGGGCACGGACGCTTGGAAATGCGGGTTCTCATCGCCACGGCCACCCAAGTGGGGACACCCCGCCAACACACACAGCCAGGTGACATCCCATGGAGGGGACAGTCCCCAAATAAGGGGGGCAGGAGGGATCTGCCCCGGTAAGGCGACAAGAGGAAGGAGACCCCAGCTGACCAGTGCCTTGGGGAAGGATCGGGAAGCACCTTGGAGCAGCCTGACTGAGACTGAGTGGGCAGTGACCATGCGACGCACCTGAAGGGGTCAGGCTGGCATTAAAAACAGAAGAAGGGGCGTCTGGCTGGGTCCCCGGAGCGCACGACTCTTGATCTCCAAGTTGGAAGTTCAAGCCCCACGTTGGGTATAGAGATCACTTAAAAAATAAAAAATATTTAAAAAAGAAAAGGAATTCCAGGAACTAGACATCAGAATGTCCCCCAGATACACACAGGCAGCTGTTGTCGCGGGCAATGGCCCTCCGCGGGGCTCCGAGTCCCCGGGTAGAAGGCACTCGCGGTATTGTTCACTCAACATTGGTCAAGCGACGGCGCTGGCGTGGCTCTGAGTCGCAAGGTGCCCGGCGGGTGGTGGCGAGGTGGCAGGACCCCGTGGCCCCCGCGCTCAGCTCCTGCCCACAGTCACGCAGGCTTTCGTCTCCGCACCTGCTGTCTCCCAGGTGGCATTCCTCTGTCACTGCCCTTCATGCACCTACACTCAGAGATGGTGATGCTTATCCCGTTTTCAGAAGCCCCCTGAGGCCGGGGGCTTGAAGCCACCTGCACTGCTGGCTGGGGGACCCCGGGGCCTAGCACTGCCTCTGCTCTGGGGTCAAGTCCTTGCAGAGCTGGGCTCAGAAGCCGGTGGGCCCCCTGGGTTCCCTCTGCCTCTCCCTGGGGAGGGGGAAGGCTGGAGGGTGGGAGGGTGCCTGAGGGAGCAGAGGGAGGGGGGTGGGGTGGGTGAGAAGGGGCTGAGCGGTGGGAGGAGGAGCCCAGAGCTCTAAGTTTCCATTTCCTGCCGCCTGGGGGAAGGCAGGTAGGGCGGGGAGGGGCGGGGCCTCGGAGGGAGGCCTGCTGGGGCCTCGTGCCCCAGACTCTAAGGGTGCCCTGGCACCTGGCCAGGCTGCAGGGAGGGGCCAGGCACACTCTGGCCAGGAGCCCAGACTCCCTGATCTCAGCGCCAGGAGCCCGGGGGACGCCCCACCCCCATCTCAGTAGCCAAAGTCAGCTCTTTGTTCTGGTCCGGTTCCCGCATACCCCCAGGGAGGGGGTCTCTCTCTCTCTGGGGAGAAAATGGGCTTGTCAGGCTCCTGTCCCTCGTCTGCCCCTCCCAGGCTGCTGGGCCTGCTGGCCTGGGAGGTGGAGAGATCCTGCCCCAGCTCTGGCCTCCACCCTCTGTGCATCTCCGGGGGGTGCCCACGGCCCAGCCCAGGCCAGGCAGGCCCTGTGCCTCCTCTCCCCGTCCTTGCCATCCGCCACATCGCCCTGCTCCTGCTCTCCCATGATTTCCAAGGTCCCCAGCCTGCTCGCCCAAGGGCCCAGGTGGGGTGGAGGAGATCTGGGAAGTGGAAAGCACAGAGCCGCAGATGGGGACAAAACAGAGGGACGACAAGGCAGCTCTGGCTGGGGCTCAGGCCTGCGGAGACCCCACCAGTCCCCCGCAGCCGGCCCGGGACGGTGGCTCTGAGGGTCCACGTCCGCAGGCCCCAGCCGTGAGGCTGTTGCTCGGCCATGCTCCAGCCTGTGGGGACATCTCTTGCGCAAAGAGCCCACCTCGTGTCCCCATGGGGGATCTTATTAAACATGCCGTTTCTCCTCACCTGGGGCCCCAGAGTGTCACCTTGTGAGTGTCTCTGGAGTCCCCTCGGCTGTGCCGTTGTGAGGAGGTGAAGTGGGAAGACGGGGGTCTCTGAGGAAAACGCACGAGAAATGGATTCGGGAGGACAGGGGTGTACAGGGAGGAGGGGCCAGCTGGGGGTCGGGGAGGGCAGTGTGAGGGGCAGCAGACACCATACCCACGAGGGGTTCTAAGGCTGGGGGAGGGACCACTGGGAGCCCAGCAGATTCTAAGAGGAGAAGATCGAAGTGGGGTGTTGATGCCACGGACCCCTCCTGCAGGGTCTCCCTCCTGCAGGGTCTCCTGGGACAGTGCCATCACTCGTGAGCACCTACAGCAACTGCCCCTCTGGCTGCCTTTCCAGCCTGGCCAGTAGACAGCAGGTGTCCCTGTCACTGGGGCTGGAGGGGGCGCCGCGTGGCTTTCCTAAGTCCTGTCCACCCCTCTCCAAAGAGCACCTCCGGCCGCGCTCCTCCTATTTTTCTGGTTTGGACGCGCCGTCAGTTCTCTGCAGGGAATTTGGTCAAACCTGCCTTTGCCTGATTCCCATTTGGGGAGGGACTCAGACTGGCACCCCTTTTGTCCCCTCCCCGAGCAGAGGATAACCTGACCCCCCTCTTCCAAGAGTTCTCTGGGGACCAGAGCAGAGCAGACTCTGCAGAACGACATGCCACCTCCCCCAGCTGGCCTGGGTTTCCGGGACCCAGACTGAAAGTAGGGGACCCAGGGCCTCAGCGGATGAGGGAAACAAAGTCCAAAGAAAATTTGCATTTCCTCAACCTACAGCCCAGGGACTGACAAGCCCTGGAATGAGGCAGAGTGACCTTCCTCTAGGGGCTCAGCTGCCTCAATGCTGACACTTTGCTAAGGGCAACAAGCCATTCTGGCCCGACCCCCAGGATCCCGTAAGTCTATTTGAACATAAAAATTCCTTTGGAGACTTCCTTTATCTCTAAACCCCAAGATACGTGGTGGCCATTATTGCCCCAAGCATACATACACCGAGATACATCCAAAAGGTCTCAGGACTGAGTTTTCACGGAACAGTAGTGTATGACCTTCTCCACTCTAGAGCTGCCCCCTCAGCGTCCTGGAAACCTTGTTCCCAAAATACCTGGGAGGCCTGCACTCTCCCTAACCCCTCCCAACTTGGAAATATATAATGGGCTCCTCCCAGGACCCCAGTGCAGCTCTACCTGCCCCCGGTCCCGTCCCGTGCTTTAATAAAACCACCTTTTTGCACCAAAGACGCCTCAAGAATTCTTTCTTGACTGTTTGTTCACTCCTAAACCCCAACATTTCCTACATTATTTGGTGCATGGCATGGGGCGTGGGTCTTTCATCTGGACTCTGAGCCTTGCTGCAAACTTGACGACTGCTTTCTTCCCCTCTATTCCCATTTCAGGGGCTTTGAAAGGAATATGATCTTTTTTTTTCTTTAATAAATCTTTTTTTTAAGATTTTATTTATTTATTTGACAGGGAGTGGGAGAGGGCTTGAGAGAGAGCACAAGTGGGGGAAGCAGCAGAGGAAGGAGAAGAGCAGGAGAGGGAGAAGCAGGCTCCCCACTGAGCCAGGAGCCTAATGTGGGGCTTGATCCCGGGACCCTGGGATCATGACCTGAGCCAAAGGCAGACGCTTAACCGACTGAGCCACCCAGGTGCCCCAAGGAGTATCATCTTTTTTTTTTTTTTTTTAAGATTTTATTTATTTGACAGAGAGACAGAGCCAGACGGAACACAAGCGGGGGAGTGGGAGAGGGAGAAGCAGGCTTCCCACCAAGCAAGGAGTCCGATGTGGGGCTCAATCCCAGCATCATGACCTGAGCCGAAGGCAGACGCTTAACAACTGAGCCCCCCAGGGGCCCCCCAAGGAGTATCGTCTTACTAGAACACTCTCATGTCGATCGCTCAGGCTACGATCGTCCAGCCCGCGGCTGCTCTACCGGGACGG